AGTTCCTGTACATGGACCTGCTTGACAACCAGCACCACAATAATCTGGTCCCGTTCCACAATAGCCCCATTTCGACATACATTGCTTTGGATCAGAACAGGCGGCACGAGCAACTCTTCGAAGAATCAAGCTTTTCAGATCAATTTCTTTATTATCATCATAGCCTTGAATATTGAGGAATGTGTTAAGAAAAAGGAGAGAATAGATCAGTATCGAATATAGCATATTTATATTTGCTTTGGCAAAAATATCTTCTTTATCTAAAAAGATAGAAAGTAAATGAAGATGACTATTCTAATAACTAGGTAAAGAGAGCAGATTGCATAAACGATGAATCGATAAGAGTTTCTTACATCCTATAAGATTTAATATATATACATATGTGTTGGTAAATGAAAATGTTGAGAAGAGAAAAACTGAAGAATAATGAGAATTTAAAGCAAGTTCAATCAAAAACGACTAATATTATACATGTTTTTTGTCTTTGGACATCTACAAAATCGAAAACTCAAAGTGAAGAGCAATAGGCAGAAAACACTAGATTTTATACTAGTGTTTGCTGTCATAATTATTGTGGAGTAAATGGGGAAAAGGGAGGTCTCCCATATGATAATTATGAGTAATATAAATATATACATATGGTGATAAAAATCCACCAGCCTCAATCGATCATGCAAAAAGTACTTTTCTCCCTATTAGTCAAAAGAATCATCATTGATATGTTATGAGTGTCATGGGTATATTACATACGAAACTAAGCAAAACACCAGATGGATAGAAAAAGAAAAGAAAAAAAGTAAACAATTAGTCCCTCTCACCTTGTTGCTATTTGATGTATTCAACTTGATTTCATTGGATTGTATTTGTATAGTATCATCATAGTCTATGTATTTAATAGTCATCATCATTGAAGATTATTGAGAACTAAATTATGCTGTTTATGATTTCTAGTCTATTATACTGCACATTAACTGTTGCTATGATCGATGTTTGACACGTATCAATTTCATATTTGGTTTGTTTATTAGAAATTGTATGCTCACAGAAATTTTCTTTTGACTTCAGAAAACTTGTCATACTATATTTTGACAATATTGGTTTATGAAATTTCTATGGAAATTTTCTGATAGAAATGGTGAATCTGATAAAGTTGAATATTGTTTTAATCTGTATGTTTGTGAAATATATGCATTAGAGTTTTTCCTCTTTATCTATACAGTTATACATTAACATTTAAGTTCTTTTTTTTTCTGTGTTGTTAGTGATGCGCTTTGGATTTTCCTTTTATGGTAAATATGTATAATTGATGGACTCTCCCTTTTATGTCATTTATGTTCGCTTTGTCTCTTTTCTTGTGTTGTTTTTTCTTTGATGTTGTTCTATGAATTTTCTTTTCTTTGTTCATTATTTATAGACTTTTTCGTTAAAGACTCTTCGCATGTTTTGATCCTATATATGGATGAATTGCAACTTTATTGTACCGTTTTGAGAAAAAAATCGATGAAAAAAAAATTTCCGATTTTAGAGATTGGGAGTAGTGCATCTTACTACACTATATGAGAGATGGATATGAATAAATTTTCCCGACTACCACTGTTAAATTGAGTATAGATCGTGTATACGCATCTTTCACAGCAAATTTATTAACTCGTGAGGAATGTGTTAGAATTAGTTCGCGTGAGTAGTGATAGTCACTTAAACATAAAAGCGACTAATATGCCCTTTATTCACCTTAATCTCAGTTACTGGATAGTTATTCACATATAAATCTCATCTGGCACTTTTTTGAAAAAATCTCGTGTGACAGTTTGCTAACAATCTCGTGTGACATTTTTACACTATTTTCCTCTCTATTATGCGAAAGGAGCATTTTCTAACCGTGATATTTTCAGCAATATCTGGCCACAACTAACAAATAAAATGATAAAAATTTCAGCTCAATATGCCTTAATTTACAAGAGTTAATACGACACACAAAGTATGAAATCTCGTGTGACATTTAGTGTGACAACTATATTTTCAAATTTTATTTAATGTCCCTTTCTTAATAAGAATAAGTAAAACTTTCGAATCATCTTTGGTAGTTTTATTCCCCACTGATAAGCTTTCATTCAAAACCAATCCGACAAATTTTAAATGCTTTGTTATATAGCAAAGGCGTTTTTAAATCTCGTGTGACACCATATTGACCATTGACGGTACACCTGATATTCGGAAAAAAATATAACATAAACTGCGATGAAAGAACTAGCCAGTCTCATATCCATGATGTATACACTGTCCACTGTAAATGTCAAAAACTGTCAAAATTCAAATGACAAGAAACGAATTAGTGATGGGTCATTTTCTGTCCATAGGTGGCAGTAGAAATCAGCCATTTTAACCTTGTGTATGCAGTATCTCGGGATAGGCTAATGATAAATTCGTGATTTTTTGTGTGGTAGTGAGCATCAACTACGGCAGCATACTCCGAAATTTTCATAGAGATTGGCCAAGAGGAACTGAAGTTATTAAAGTTTTACATATGGAACTACGAACGGTACAATAAAGTTGCAATTCATCCATATATATATTCGTTAGACTGTTACGAAGCTGATAGATAGATATAGTTATAGAAACGAAGTACAAATGGAATCTAGATATCACAAATAGTCTATATGTAAACGACAATAAAATAGAAAAAGCACAACAGATGAATATGTTGGTGAAAAGCAAATAAGCACATTTGTTATAAAACAAATACATCTATCCGAGTATTGAAATGAACTGATTTTGAAAGATTTTATTCTGTAGAAAAATAACAGTGCAGCATAATTCAAATAAAACATATAGACCATATCTATTCGAATCTAAAGAACATAGCAGCATTTTCTTTACCAAAACTTGATATGTCTGGGTCTGCATGTTATTTTGCTTTTCGTGCACTTCATATGCCATACTAGCATTATTATCCTGAAGTTTTTAGTGTGACCATTCGTAAGAGTTAATTTTTGCATACTATTTCGATGTTCGCTTGCGCTAAAACTATGTTTGCCAACAGTTCAAAAACTAGATTAATTGAGCTTTATAGTGTGCAGAATGAATCTCTTTCATATCACAGTCCTTTTCAAGTTGTATCTAATTAATCATTAATGTTTTTTTTCATATGAGAGTAATGATAGAAAAGAATAAAACCTTCTTATATTCTTCGTATAGTAGAAAGCAAATGTAGACAATTTCCCCCATATGATATACGTCAAGATGAATAAATTATCAAATTTCATTGTCATCGTCAAAGCGTTTATGAACTGCAATAGTGTTCTCATAAACAATATTTAGCTAGTCATAATGATGGTAATACTATTCGTGTCTGAGATTTTCATTTATAGTATAATGAATACAATAGACAGTGCTATGATCGATAATTATTTATCGTTTGTACTCTTAGCTCATAGTAATGAGATGAAGAAAATTTTCATACAAAAATGATTATACCATTCCAAATAACATGAAGCAACTATTAAAGTAAATTTGTAATTATATATTTTGCATATCTACGAACTATATTCAAGTCTGTTGGATGAAATTCATAGGAAGGATGTGAAATATTAGCAATGTGA